ACACAAACACAGGATTAATCTTTCCCTAAAAGCGTTTCAATATATCGCCAGAGCAGGTTTCTATTAAAAACTAACAGGGGGTGCAACCGGGCCGATATAATTCTGTGGGAGTAAATGTTAAAACCTACAGAGGCCCTGTGCCCAGGGGGTCAGAGTGTTAAATAGTTTCAGTATCTGAATGTAGAAGTGTGTGTGTGTTTTTTTTATTCTTCTTGAAAAAAATAAACTTGCGGAAAATCTCAATAAAAAACTACAAAGTTTGAAAACCTGAGGCATGTGTGTGTATATTAGTCTGCGTATAAACACTCGTGAAAAATAGCCATGATATATTGCCAATTTTCTTACCAAAGTGAAAATAAAATCTGAAAATCGAGCCTACATGCAGACAATTTGAATGATCCAATTTTATTTTATTTCGGATTAATCCAAAAGTGGCGGTGAAGTCAGTAATACGACATCGCTTCTGCACTTTTCCCCACCAGTATTGAAAAAATATACAAGGCAACTTTCTACCAAAGGTGTAATTCACATGGTGATATCATAATTGTTCGTACTCAGGACACTTAAAATTAGTATAACATGTTAATGATCAATATCTGAAATTGCCCTTGAAATGTAAAATATACAAAACTCGTTCTACATGATTTTTTGTTTCTCTTATCGGTAGGATATCTCAAGTTAAAGCCGTATTAAAATGCACGTGAAGAAATTCAGGTCACATGGCATCATGATAAACTGAATATAAGAATAGGTTTTTAACCCTTTCTGGCAATAAAACAGGTGTTAAGATGTTAAAACACCAAACTGAAACCTTTTTGCAAGGAATCATGTCTGCATTAACCACATATACTTGTGGTGAACATGCTACCAAAAAAACATGCTCTGGTAGTATTTGCATTGTCTTTGAAACTGATTGGTCCACACCAGAGACAGCTTTCTTTAGAGCCTCGTCTCAAACGGCGTTAGACCAGAGGACGCCAAAAGGCGAACAGCACAAAGACAATGCCACTATTGGGACATTTATAGCTCGGGCTGAGGAGCTGCATCATGGGAACTGCCTTCATACTGGCAAGAGAGGTCCCATGATGAGAAACTGTATTGATATGGCATGTCCTGTACACGTACATAAGGCACACATGGGAAAAGAGCCTGTGGCTCATTGCAAGCTCATAGCTTCTCAGGGCTGGCCACCAAATGAAAATGCTAAATGTATGACTTATTATTTTTTACTTTTGGTATGATAAATATTCAATCGTTTCACTTTCATAAGTAGTAATCATCGCGGAATATTCCCGTCACCCAACCAGCGAAGCATTCTGTTGTATACAGCAGCCCTCTGTAGCATTCATGGGGCTTGCGTTAACGGACAATGGCACACGGAGCTGGCTAAAGTTATTATATAATGTACTTTATATTTCGGCTGAACACTTTCAATGCTGAACCTCAAGATGTGCCAGGCAGAAGGATGACTTTTTTTTTTAGATTTCGGCCAAGAGAAAATTCTCTCCATTTTCATGGCAACACAGCACTAAAAGTGCATATTCAACACCACCGAAATCTTACTGCGTCAACATACGCAGTGCCCCTTACAAGCACATCCGATTGACTCCCCTTATTAATATATTGCAGGCGTAGGCCAGCAGTGGACGTAGCGTAATTAAGAAATATTACAATTAAGAGCCAACTAATTCCAGTTATTGACTGTTTCAAGTGAACGTGGCGTATCACCCCATTGATTCGTTAACTAGGGCCATATGTTACGCACAGCTATGCCTTTGACATGCGTCATGTTTTGCCATTGATCTCCCGGCACAAAGGGAATGCGTGGCGCTGGCGAGAAAGGCAAGCTGGCTCCATACTCCACATGAATGCACGGAGTGATCCATCAAGTGATTTTAAAAATATATATTAAATTAATTCCCCTTTTTGCTAAGGTGTGGAGGCGTACAGGAGTAGCTGAGGCATGGCTACATGCTAAGGGGCAGCCTGAGATCTCCCTGTGTGTGTCGCTGGAAATCGCTGCATTTACACGGCCTGTGTTGGGATGTAATTGGCTGATGTTTTTGTTCGGTGCTTGGTAATCTTGAAGAGAACACCGGCTTTGTTGTGGAATCACAGAGGATGGCCTCAACGTGGTGATCCATTGCTATTCGTGAGCAAGGTTCTATTTGCACGGGACAATATACACAGGCATGGTTCAATAGGCTCTGAGGCTTGAGTAAATAAGACAGACAAGCATGGGAGAGAGCACACGCACACACACACGTGCATGCACAAGTGCATGCTTTCATACACACACACAAAGAACCCCCGTATATCGCCTTTAACAGACTGTTGGGGCAGATGCTGTTAGCGAGCACCAATGAAGGCCGGCACGCATACAACGAGGTGGGTGACCAGCGCCACGCCCGGCCGCCTTTGTCTCCAAAGTGCCAACGATTTGCACACCGTACCAGGTACTTATTTGAGGCTAAGTCGACCTAGGGGAGGCCCAGTACCAGTTCAAATATTCGATTCTGGTCTTGTCCACGAGTAGAAAATCGAACTTGGGTCACTGGGTTTATTGCGCAGCGTGCTAACCACGATACTGCCACTCCCTATGACTACTCTCAACATGCGTGTAATCGCACACATGCATGCAACCATGTCATGTCGAAGTGCATGCACTCAGCGATAGCACACATGCTAAGATATACGATTATTCCATTTAGCTTGGGACCAACGGAGCACCTGTTAAGGTACATTACACAAACCGTATCATACACAAATGTATTTATTACACAAACGAGTGGAATGTCCTGCACCACGACTAGTGACGATGTAAAGCAACCTATGCCATATTCTTAAAATTATTTCATGCTGAGTTGATCTAAGGGAAGTCCAAGCACCAGGCCAGGCTACAATTGCCACTAATGTGTATGGCTAGTGGGTGACCCCAGGTCACTAATATTATACATCATTGAAGCATATCTGCATACCCGTATGTAGTTCATTCATCAACATGTCACTGCTACACACACACGCACGTCTGAGAGATACAATAATCACATCTATGAGACCGACGGTGGTTGAATATGTGCGCGAAACTCATATGCGTGTGTATTTGTTGTGAATATTTTAAGAGTAAATATTCCTTATGAAATCATCTTAAGGCTCTTATTCGACGAAAGGTCGCGTAATCTGTGGATTAACAAGCGTATACTCCCCATTTCGTTTGACGCTTTTAAAACTAGAAGCTGGATAGCCCACATTAACCCTTTCCTGTTCCAATGACGTACAAGAATATACATTATCCGTTTTACTTCCGGTTGCGTTCAGATTACAAAGATGTACGTCAACGGAATAAAAACTAAAATAAAATAACTTTATCGGGACCAAGGCTCCCACAAGGCCGTGCTGGAGGGCATGTGGCACAGTTTGGCGCCGGCTATCGTAGAGTGCGGTCATGTCACTACAGTTCTCTGCGGTGAGTGCGATGTCTTTAAAAACAACGGCACTACCACACCTCTCTAAGTAAAATTAACACTGAGCCGCTTGTGTGCTCCGAGATTCAGCGGTGAACGGGACCCCCACCCTGCAACATTTGCTGACGTCTCGGAACGGGAAAGGGTTAATACCACGCTATCATCAGCTGTGGGCAATCCACTGCTGGATGAAGGAATCCTCCTCAAGTTGCCGCTGCCAAATCTCACGATCCTGCGACGCCGGAATGAGTAGGCCCCGTAGATGTGATGCCACCCACCCAACCAGCCCGGCCTCTAGTAATTTTGAAATAAATTAACCCACCAGCATTCACAATGCCCTGCTGTTTCAAACAAACCGTAAACTCAAACCCTTTAGTAGCCCAGCATGGTGTGGGGGGGGGGGGGGTGCCCCAAAAGAATGTTTATTTCTTTCAATCTCTCTTGCGTAAAGGGCAGCTCCATTGAGAAGAACACAGCTCATTTAGCAAAGATGCCCAGTGGCATTTTGCTGAAGAAATTCATTAATTTTCCCGTGGATTTCCCCGGTACGGAAATCTCTGCGATGGCAACACTGGACTCGTACGGAACAAAACGCGCCGCGCACTTTCTATAGACAATGTGTTGAATTTAAATGCGTATTGAATTTACCTTATTAGACCTGTAACTTAGTAGGCGTGTAATCCGATTTAATTATTAAAAGAGAATCATGCACGCAAGAATGTGTGTGTTTTTTATCGCACAAAGTGTAAGGAATTAAGACTCTTATATTTAGCCTAATGCAGGGAACGAAACTGTAAAGCAAGACGGTACAGACTAATGAAGTCACAACACCCAAACTGTGACAATTCACAATTCGACAGTCAATTGAATCTGATTGTCACGTGACAAACGATCCAGCTTGTCAGCAGACCGGAATTTTGTCCGACGTATCTTTCTGTAGATCATATCCAGGCATCATCAGGCACGCACAATAGCCCAGGTGTTAGCAAAGCTCAGCTTTAAAAACAAATGGACATTAAACTCTACGTGACGACCTAAGCCAAATAAAAACTAATTAAGAATCAGAATATTGGCCGTGAAAGCCTACGTTGGAAATCAATTTACAATTCATCAGTTTGGGGGGAGAGAGAGATGGTTGGGGGGGGGGGGCGGGGGGAGGGCGGGGGGAGAGCGGGAGGTACGTGACATTACCGCACCTCCAATTAGCACAGTTGTCTGAGTATCATGCGAAAGAACTTCAACATTTCCATATACATACCTAAAACAACAAACAACAACAACCGCCATTCACCACTAAGTGACGTCACCACAGCGCTTGTGCCAGGCAAGGTGCACTTTCGGGCCACGTGAAAGTGTCGAACACCCGCTGGCAGATCACGGAAACAGACCCAGGTGCCATGGGTTGACCGACTGAGATGACCGGCCGATGCACCACAGACGTACCAACATACGCGCGCAACATACGCGTGTTGCAGGAGCAGTGCAGCTGCGTGTCAGTGCGACCGATGGAATCTCCCGGTGGCCGGTGCCTCTAACCTTCTCGGAGCATTCCCACTTTGAGGCACTTCATGAAGCGGCAGGCCTGGCAGGCCTTGCGCCTCCGCTTCGTGATCTCGCACTCGTTGGACGCTGGGCAGCTGTACTCGATGTTCCCTGAGACACAAAGACACAGAAACGCACGCACGCGCACGCACACACCGGGCGCACGTGAGCGCACGAGGGCACGCGGACCGCGCTGCTGTGCTCGCGATGACGCAAGTACATACGTGTGTATGTATGTATGTAAGTATACTGAACTTCTTTCACACCGTACGTAGCCAACTGTGCTGATTGGAGGTGTGCGGGGAAAAAAATAAGCATCGATAAAGTATCGATGGTGCGAGATGAATTGTTGATCAGGAGCACCGCTGGTGGTTACTGGCCGTGCGCGGGCCTGTGCTCCCAACCGGCCCTTCGTTGGTCTGACGACGCTGGGTTGATGGGACGCAGCACAACGCAAAACTGAGAAGCCCGGTGTCGTGGCAACGAATTCCAAAATCTTTTTTGTGACCCAGCAGTGAAACTTCACGCGAAATCAAGTTGATGTATTGTACAGCTCCCCGATGTCTTTTCGGATCGTATTTGCGCGTTGTTGGGCACGATGTCTGACGTTGCTGGATATAATTGCTTTACTTTCTGAAGAAGCTACCTCAGCACGTGGAGTGAAGTGTCGGACAACGTGCCAAACAACAGCACAGTAGAACAAAAGCGCCTGCAAAGCACTACCTGCGCAGCAGAATAAAGATCATCGCTATGCTCGACAATAGCCAATGGGATGAAACATTTCCAACTAACAATGGTGGTGGCATTTATTTGTCCGGGCAATTTATGCTCTTGCATTGGGATGTTTACTCAATAAGTGCTCATCTAGGTTAAGGAGCACTTATCTTCATTTTCAAATGTTGAATTGGGGCGCCATGGCTTTCCATGGCTTTGCCCGGTGACCTGCTCTTGACAACGGATATTGGTGTGATTTTTTGCTCCCCCAACATTATGTTTTATTAACATAACAATTCAGGTACACACAGAGGTTATGAACGGGGGCGTTGAGACCAGCGAAAAACGCATTACGGATTAAAGTGCAATGGAAACCTGTCTAAACAGCACGTTTAAATAAACTGCTCCGATCAACTCCACAACCCTGGTGCCTCCCTAAGCTGTAGGAGAATACAAAAAAAGGCGGGGAGAGGGGGCGAAATTGGCCCCAATTTTGACTACCGCTGTGATGAACGTCTGCGTGCTTTGGGTATCTAAACGCACAAGCTACTGGGCCAATGGGCAGAAATCAAAGCCTCGAGTCTCCCATGCAAACTCGCTCAGCGGCAAAAGCACATTGACTTACAAGGCCACGCAACCACTCATCGTGGCTAATGTTCCCAATTTGGTCCCGACACCAGCAGACAATCAAGCACTCTGGAGAACGGTGGCTTTTTTATGTCCACACAAATTAGCAGACAGCATGCTTGTTTGACGATGTTCCCAAAGCACATTACCGTGGGAATTCGGTTAGATTTGAGCCAGCGAACTGTGAAGCAGGAGGCTGGCTCTGTAGTAACTAGACGACCCACCCACCCCCAGTAAATATGTAAATATGTGCGCTGTTATGTGCATCTTGAACAATGAATGTGTGCGCATATAATGTGTAGTGGAAACACTCCTACCACTGCCGGATGCATGCACAACTGCGCTGGCGTGTGCCGTCCTGTGGACAACCCAAGTTCGATTCCTGTTCACGACCAACGTCAGTGACAAATGTTTGAATAGGTTCTGAGCCTACCCTAGGTCGACTCAGACTTAAATGAGCACCTGGTGCAGTGTGTGTATACGAATCAGCACTCGGGAGACAAAGGCTGCCGGGCATCGGTAATTGCCACATCACCGCTTCGTGTGCCGAATCGGCCTTCGTAGGCGGTCTCTAACAGCACTTGCCCCAACAGTCTGTTAAAGGCTATACATGGGATCTTTGTCATAGTTGTTTTTGGAATAATTCACTTCTCCCACCAGCGATTAGATGGAAGAAAAATAATCGAGTAATCTTTGGCTGGGCTGTAGTCTCGTTTTTGCTACGGCTTCATTTTTACAGTCGCGTTTATTCCAGTTCATTTGCTGCCATGAGTCCAAATGAGCACGAGTGTGTAATTTATGCAACATATCAGACGTATAAAAAATAACAACCAAATCCTTAGATTAATGTGTCACGATGATACGTACTCAGTAGACACGCAACGTTGGACCAACACGTTGGGCCAATGTCAGCCCAACATTCCGTATATAATGGGTACCAATGAACGTGGGAGTCAATGTCAGTAGCCGAGTAATTTGATGCATTTGTGGTTCGGTGCGTTGTACTACAGTCACTGCCACCTGGGAATATATTTACACATTTTTGAATAAACTTGTCCTGGGCGTCACTTAGGTGAACTCAGCCTTAAAAGGTGTCTTGCCACAGCACCTGATGAGAAATGAATGGAGGCTGTGTTTTCTTTTCCATCATTGTGTAAATAAGAAGCCGTGTAAAATATGTGTATGTGTATACAATCGAAGTGTGTACATGTAAACAAATACAGATATGTACCACAAACATGTTTAGTAGAACAGAAAATTCTACGCTGTGCGTGTCTGTGGGTGCGTATACACGCGTGCGAAGACGACCAGTCACACGAGTTCGATTCCCGCTCTCGGCCAAGATCAGTGGCGTGTATTTGACCCGTTTCTGGGCCTCTCCTAGGTAGGCTCGGCAATAAAACGAGAATGTGGTGCGACGTGGAAACATCAGCAACGGGGACGCAAAGGCAGCTGGGCGATCTTAGTCTTTGTCTATAAAATATAATTTTCTTAGCGGTTTCTACAATGACAACAATGTCAATATTACTCTATGTTCCATCATCTATGCAGCATTATCAAATAGTCAATAAAGACAAATAACCACGCACAAGCTGGTCATTAACCTTTGAACTTATTATTTCAGAAATGTATTTTAATTAAATGACCCTTTCCAAGCCATGCTGTAGGTCTATCAGGGTCACGAAGGCAGCATAAGCCAGATTCACATTTACCGTGGTCCTGAGTTTTCTCCCTGCAAACAAATCGAAGTAAGCTGGGTTAACAACAATATTTCTCTACTGCAGACTCGCCTCTTATCTACGACCCCATTACTCGCGACTCGTACAATCAGAAAAAAGTCAAGGGCCAGTGAAAACTCCTATTATCCATGCCCCTACTCATCCTACTATTCACGTATGTCCGTGATTTGTTTCCATGTATTAACGGTGAAAAATTTGCGGATAACATGGCCGATAAAACAATCGTGTTTGGTGGATAAAAAGAGTGCTCTTAATGTATTTCATTTTCATTTTGGGGAAGAAAAAAAAACTTCTGTGTACAACAACCCAATGTGTATCACGCCAATGACTGCATTGCAAGGCCACGATTCGTCTCCTTTGCAGAGAGACACAATCACTGCCGGTCACGTGTTACTGCGCGTCCGCATTTGCCGAGGCTGCTTAACTGCAGCGCTTGCACGCCACGATAAATTTGGCATCAAACGGCAGCTAATGAAGTATAGAGTTCTACCCCTTAGGAAATCAAACATTCAGCACTCGGAGCTTGAAAACACAATCATCAAGAGCTCGCCACGGCCAATGCAATTGATGCCATCGCACCTCGACTTCACTTCCTCCCGTCTGCCAGATACAGCCATTGGTGCACAGTCAGCACCCCAACATCCCAGCTCTGTTATGACAGTGGCCGATGCTTTGCCTTTAGCCACACAGAGAGCGAGGCGATGCATCCTCGAGCGGCATCCTGAAAGGAAGAAGGGCCCATTACCCAAAAGGTCACCGACACTGAATATTTTTTTTTTTCCCTTTGAGCGAATTTCTATCATTTCGTATGGAAATGGCTGTGTTCTTAACTAAAACTGGCTTTGTCAAAAAAATGTATGTTCAGGAGCTATATGGCGATGTCCAGGTCTGCTAGCCACGCAGAGAGGGATTAAGGAGAGAGACTTTCGTGTGGGTTTGCCGTCCGTCCTCCTCTGTTGAAGGAACACAGGCTACTGTGCGGTCTATCGTTGGGGCTGCGTGACGAATGTATATTTGTGCTTTTGCAGCGCACTTTTTTTCGGGAAAATCCTGTTGAAAAGGGGTCCTGAAACCCAGTGAGGCCTTTTTGGTTATACAACTGACAAAGATGGTTCACTGTTTTCAGTGTTCGATGAATAGAAAATTATATTATTATTAAGTCAGTAGCGGCTATAAATACAGCATTTGGCATTTCTATTTTTAACGTGTATTTAAAATGTGCGTGCAACCTTTTGCGTCCGATGCGTGTAATAGTGATAGCTGTATTTGAATCACTACATTAGTGCAGATTCCTTCGAAACGTTGAATTACGTCCATCATTGGGCCCTGCAAGTTCTTCGTCCTATGCCCATGCAATGGCAGGAAAAACCTACAATCTCGTCTCCCAGAACTGAAGTGTCACCTATTTCAGGAGAGCCCTTGCTTTTCCGCGGCTTAAATGAGCCTCTCCCTTAAGCCTTCCGGACACTTCGCTTGGCATTCACAGGGTGCGCCGGTGTAGATGACCAAAAGTTTACAGACAAAGGAGGTGATCACAGCAGCTGTTGTAAGCAACTTAACACTGCAAACGTGCCGCACCATCTCCGTCGTGCCTTATGGCCAATTATAGTCGCGCGCGGCAAAGGTTTTTAAGATCTGGTGGGAGCGTTCAGCTAATGGAAAGTTGCTTAAAGCAAAAACTGCCAGTTGTCCCTGTTAAAAGAGTGAGGGAGATCCTATCTGGTGTACGACAATCGGCTAATCCGCGGTAATGGCACACTTGCAAATGTGCTCATTATAAATAAAAGAGGCGGTTGTGCTAATTTTGTTGAGGGAGCAATTTTTTTATTCCTCTTCTTCTTCTGTTGAACGTTATTTTTTAACATTATTAGCGCAAACGTAATTGTACACGCTACTCATTATTGTAACGGTTTGTGCAATAATACAAATAGCCAGCCAGCTGTGTTGCATTCTGGATAATTAGTAATTAAAGGTGACCTTTGAGAATGTGCCCACTAATAATGTCCCGTGATTGTGAATGGAAAGGGCTGCCATTACTGTCTGCGCATGAGTGCTCTGCTCATAAACGTACGAGATGTTCTGAGGGAGGCCGGCCTGATTACGGGCGAGAGAGGGGGCCATCGAAAAGTTTGCGGCTTCACGTAAAACGCGGCAACGTGCCCCAATGAATCCACAATTTTTTTACGCGAGGTCCCCTTGTGGTGCAATGCATTTTGATGACCTGAAACTTAACTATAAAATGCATTTTTTTTTAAACAGGTAAGGCTCTTACTCTTTGGTTCTTTCGGTAAAGAAGGAGCCAAAGAGAAATTCCTGCAGTCACGAAAGCTTCGAATCCAGATAAGGCTCTTTTTCAAAAGCGACTCGGCCACAAATGATAGCTCAACGAAGTGGCTTATCATGTGGAAATGTATCGCAGCCAAATACTCTAAACGCACGTTTCTAAACACTGGATTATCAACACTAATGCTACAGCGTTGCGAGGCGTTTACTCATCTTTTCCCCAAAACAGACATTTGCATGAATCGCTGCGTAAACCGTGAGACCACAATCTGAAGTCAACGTGACTTGTGACTCAAACGACGATCGCCGCAGCGTAAGGGTGGAGTTTGACCACAGGATCACTCCTGTTGACTTCCCCACAAAGTGGTTCCCTGTTTTATCGACCCTCGAGGGATTAATGACTCTCAACCGAGATTTAAACTTGCAACGTTCAGACTGTGAACCACTGGCCACAGATACAAGGTGTCACTTTATTGTCACTGGAAAATTGCTTTCTCTCTGTGGTGCGTTAATCAATGAATACCCGTGGAAGCATGTACAAGTCACTGGTAGCGAGGTCGCGAATGGGTATGGATTTCTCCAGATTTCTCCTGATTTATTCGGATTCATATGGATATTTTTGTTCCACCCCAGAGCTCTCAACTCTAACGAACACAAATACAGGCACCACGAAAGTGTCTGAATTAATCCACGGCAATTAAATACGGTCGTGAATCATGAAGGTAAATTCCTATTCAAGAACGGATCAACCTTTGTTGCAGCAGCTCTTTTCAGGTTGGGCAGCGTGTCGTTTTGCCTGATGTCCGACGTTTCGCCTCCAGCAGCTTCAGTTCCTGAAGAAGCTGTAATTTCCTCCATAAACCACTAGTTTCGGACATCGTGCTGAACGAACTCATGCTTGCGCCCGACGGACAACATCCGGAGAGCCATACGGCGCAACCTCAAGGAAAGCCGATGCACTCCGTCGCATCGCCGCTCCTTTGTCAGGCTTCACAGACTTGTTGATCAGCCCCTCACCGTGCCCTCCCCCTGTCCCGCTCTCACTCATTCTCAAGACGAGGGAAGGATTCTGCACCCGCTTGAAAACGTTGCACGCTATTCACTCTCGGGCCGCACGGGAAGCCGGTCTCGGGTGATTATCTTTTTTTGTTTGATGGTGGATTTCCAAGCTAATCACACTTTGTAAAGCGATAATTGGCATTGACAAACTTGACTAATTGAGAGGGTGTCGTCGTTCAATTTGACACCGATGTCTGAGAAACAAAAGGGGGTCCAGGTAGCAGAGGAGGAGACAAAAAAAATTCCCTGATGCAATTTGTGTTGGGGTGAAATAGAATTGAAATATGGCATGAGTAATACATTTTAGTCAATGAGTTGGTTATTTTTGTTAATTGATCATTGAGCACGATGATAAAGCACGCCTGCACCTTGGCGATCTGGAGGCAGGGTTGCCCGGATCGTGAACATTTCTACGGGAGCCTCACAGAATACAACAAATGATGACATCTTCAGAGGACGGCAGTACAGAAAGTGGGCTTTTGATCGAATAACATGTGCACACTTTTAGGTGTTATTCTCTAGTTTACTCCACAACTGAAAACTTCGATTCAAATGGAAGTGAGGCCCAACTTCGCAACAATGCAGGATTCTCTGGAATAAGAGTCTCAATTGACATCTTGAACATCGTGCAAATCCGGAAAGAACCACGATGAGCGACGGACCACAGACGGCCACGGGTGACAACCGAACTCAACCTTGCCGGCGCGTCTCCTTGGGCACGAGGGGCGAAACGTTGGGCACTGTATCAGCGGACGAACACGTGAACCCACCCCCCGCCCTCCCGCGTAAAAGCGCCGGCGAGAAGCCCCCTCACCCTGGATGGTGCGCTTGAAGAACGCCTTGCAGGCCTCGCAGGACGCCACACCGTAGTGGTAGCCCGACGCCACGTCCCCGCACACCAGGCACAGGCGCTTGGGCATGGCGTTGAGCATGTACTCGCACTTGGTCTGCACGTCGGCGCCCGGCGGCGAGTCGTCAGTAGCGCTTGCGCCCGTTGGGGCCGCCGGGCCCCACCATGGCCACGGCGGCCGCCGCCGCGGAGGAGGCGGCGGACGAAGAAACGGCGGAGGAGGCCGCGGCGGCCGCGGCGGAGAAGGGCGAGTCGAGGCCGTTGTTCCGCGCGTGCGTCGAGTCCGCCGCCGCCGCCGCGGCGGAAGAGGAGGTGTGGTGGCGGTAAGGGCGGCCGTGCATCGCCGACGAGCTCATGCCGACGCCGTAGCTGCCGCTCGTGTCCGACGAGCCGCTGGGGCTGTGCTGCTGCGCCAGCGAGTCGCCCAACGGCGAGGGGCTGCACGGCTCCGTCTTGATGTAGGGTCCGCAAGACGGCAGGGAGCCACGGTCCTTGGCTGACATGCTGCTCAGGGGCCTGGGGAAGAGGCGGGCGGGCAGAGGCGCAAGAAGCGGAAAAGGGTGTTTGTTTAGTACGATTAGTTCGTCAGCTTCTGATAACCAGGCATCAAACCAAACGGGGAAGTTTAGACCTCCCTGTTACACCAAGATCTGCTCGGCCATCCAACGACCTCGTCTGAGATCCCGAAAAACAATCTGGGATTGCCGTTCGCGACAGTTGGACGAAGCGGGTCAACCGATGACCACTGGCGAGAACCGTGGAGTTCTGCCGAGGTTACGAATGAAAGTTTCATCGGGGTCCCCCACCATCAACCGCTTACAGTAACAGTGACCGCACACCGCTGCGCGCGCCTCTTACACAAGTGGGAAAATAAAGAGGACCCCCACCCCTTCCACACAGTGCGGCAACTGTGACTGCGGCCACCCGAACCAAACTATGGGACGGCATCGTGGACAACTGCGTCGTTCCACGCCCGCGCGCTCCGTGGGATTGTAGAGTATCAGTCGCGCTACTCCCGAAGCTATCGCACGGCTCTCTCCCCCTAAACCTGGACGTATTCTGTACACGTGTTTCCCATACGCGGGGAGACGATTAAGCAGACGAGAAGTCGAGAGGTGAGGATAGTCTCGTTTGCAAGAGTCACCAAAATGACAAGATGAAATCAAAACAAAACAATGCAAGGAAAGACCGAAACGACATCGAAGCAAAACAACCACCTCACAGCAGAAATCAAAAATGTTGTTTGGATACATGTATAAATGTTAAATTAAATATCCTGGAAGGTAAGTTGGCGTAGTAAGAATAATTTTAAGGTCAAAGTCAAGAGGTCGTCATGGGCCAATTAAGTTCATGCCACAACATCTCACCAGCAGGCTGCACACCAGACACCCAACTTGCAAGATTTGATCTCATCTCGTCCCACGTGGGTTTAGGTCTTCCCCTGGTCTTGATAACTTTCGCTCCGTTACTCTGCCCACGTATCCCACCCATCACAATTTCCTATTTTGCTCAGCATCCACAAGAGCTTGTGTACCGCATTGTTTTATGAACGCCCAAGTTATTTACCCCATCCTGCCATGATGTTCCTAGCATCTCCTGTATACACTTAATGCCAAAGGTTGGAAGCTTTGATTCTGTTAAAGTTCAACTCTTTATGCCATATATTATATTAACACAGACCCTAACATACGCATCATGTTAGCATTACCGTTGACCTCTTCTCTCTTTGTAAGTGGCTTTTGTAGTCCGTCAAATCTTTGCTCTGCAAATGCAAAACACCCCTTGAGCCCCTTCGCATGGCAGTCTGCATGCTACACATGCGTAACTCAGCGCAACGTCTTCTCCGTTCTCCTAAAGATCTCTGGGATCACTGCTGCAATCTCGCCAGTTAAACTAAACAATGAACTATTTCGATTTTACCAGGTAAGGCCCACTGGATGTTTTGATAGCTCAACGTAAGTGGCTTACCACGTGGAAATGTATAGAAAGCAACTACTCGAAACGCATGTTTCTAAATGTGGAAGGGAAAAACCGCAGGACCCGGAGAAAAATCCACGCGACCACGGGGAGAGAGACACGCAAACTCCAAATATACAGGCGTCAGAATCAGGATTGACCCCATGACCATCAGGTAAGTTAGTTAAAATCTCACCACCATGGCACCACGTTCAACCTCCCAGTGCAGCAGCTGAAACAACGGTACAAGTGTCTTAACTTGCTCCCTCTTTGTCCATCCAGCAGTAGAAATGTTTCCACCACAGTTAGCCGATAACCAAATCGAGTGTCATTGGCTAAAGTGTGGGTACTTCCACCTCTGCCACGAGGTCTGGCCAGTGTGGAGGAGTAGACCAAAATTCCCTCCAGAGCTCCCACCGGTGTGGTGTGAGCGAGCAGTGGTGTGAGCAGGAAATTGCAGGGCTGCACCTTTATCTCGGCCTTCCCAGGAGGTAGCCGGGAGGCTGAAGAAGAGTGGGCGCAGTGATGCATGCCTCATAATCCGGCCACTTTATTTGAAATTGAAAGTTGATGAGAGGTCGAGACCTATTATGAAGCCAGTCAACGTCAGCAACACTGATCTAACAGCGTGGAGTGAATGGCATTAGACTTGAGAGGAACATGGCTCAGATCTCTATGGGCTCTGATCGTTTTTATCCAAATCCGCTTCCCAGCTGAAATATTATCCGTAGTTATTTTTTAGATCGGAGCAGCTGATGGCAGTGCCCAATCGTGATAGGTATTGGATGAGAGTTGCTTCGTAGGAAGTTATTATGCAATACTTACATTACATAAATAATAGAGGCTTGCAATCGGTTAGGATCGGGTGATCAGGACGAGTGCGCAGACTTCAGAATGTGACCCTTCTTCTTTCCGTATGGCTGATGCAGATGCAGAACAACGACTACAATTTCACATTCAGGTGGTCAAGCCAGATAACCGCGTCAGGAGCCAGCGGAGTTGTATCGCTGCGATGGCTCCTTCGTATTTGTGGGTCAGGCATTGTGTCGTTACCCGTTGCACGGTCCGTTCTGGGTGGCCACAGTTGCATGCTACTGGAGAGTTTTGAATTTTCCATTTGAATGTGACCCTAATCAGGACCACGTCCGAGTGGCTAATTTGAACGTGGATGGGAACGTCTGCAGCACACGGTAACCATTCAGTGCGCGCTGCAGATTGTTGAAGTGCGTCGATTGCGATGGACTATTCCGGTCACAAGATTGCTGCAGCCGAGGGGGGTACGGGCGCTAAGCGACTGTCAATGACGTTGACGACGCGAGTTCAATCCCAACCGTAGGGAACCAATTAAGGTTGTCTTTTTATGAAAGAATCTTGAATGCATAATTAATATTCGTCGAAGGGCAATGACCGTAAAGTGTGCATTGTGAGGGAAAGGTGCAGCCCTGCGGTTGGCTTGCTCACGCCACTACTGGCGCAAGCCCTCCACTAGACGTAGCTCTAGAGAACCCCTCTGGAGTGTAATTTTTGGCCTACTCTTTCACATCGGCCACATGTTGTGCAAGAGGTGAAAGTACCCAAAATCTACCCCACCGCATGCAATCCGACAATCAATTAACTGTTGATTGGACATCATAAATGTTTTTTTTGGGTTAAATCGCGCAAATATAAATGTGTCGTTAAACCCGCCGCCACCCGACACAGCCAATAAGTGAGGTTTGTCACGTAAACAAAACGTGCCACTTCAGCAACACCGGTGTGTTGGAGAGTAAACTCACAACATTTACAAGTCGAGTACGACGTTTCGCTGGTGATCACAAGAACCAGCCTCATCAGGCGAAAGCCAGACATTTACGACACATTAACATTTATGCGATCTAACTAAAATAAAAACCCTTTGTAATGGATAATACTGGTCGCGATAGCCTACGACGCGTTAAACTGGTGAATGGCATCCCCAGGACGATGCCCAAATCCATGGGCAGCGAACTTTGGGCCTCCTGTTCCGTGTGGAACTCTGCGGAAGGAAGTCTGGGAGTCCGGTTCGGTCGGGACCTTCAACTACCACCGACAATCACTCCTCTTTCAGAAAGCGTTTCTTATTTTAGCCTCGGGCCAATTCTTCCTTATCCCATTGCTATTGATGTAAAGCACCTTGAGATTGCATGATGAATGGCATTACATAAAGCTGTAATTATGATTATACTGTATACTGTTGGGTGAACAGAGCCGATTGGGGGGGAGGGGGTGGGGGGGATTCCACTAGAGGGGAGCTCCAAATAGCCCCCCATAGCAAGGATTTGGCCTATTCGTCCACATTGGCCAACTGTCTTTGTAAGAGGTGGAAGTTCCCACACCTTACCCCACCACACCTGACCTGCCGATCGCCTAACTGTGCCGCACTCGTTAATACTGCTCGCTGGACAGAGGCGGGTGGGATTTGAAAGAAACTTGCGCCATCGTTTCAATGGGAGATCGAACCGTCGACCGTCGGATTGCAGGTCCAATGCGCTGACCATGGTGAGCAAACGCATTCTATCTGTTTATATACATTCTGACAAATGTGTGGATGAGAAGAGTGGTGGGAGATTGGCCGTCAATATGAATCGGGGAGCCTGGGCCAACAGCGGTTGTACTTCTATGTTCCTACGATGGAAACTGTCCACGGTCTCGGGTTAGGGCAACTATTGTTGGCGTTCCACGAAGTCGCTCATTATTCATTTCTGGAGGGGATGATTGGCTGCGTTGATCAGTGGACACAAAAAATTGGATTTAAACTGAAAGGTAATACGCCTACATTTAGGCAGCAGATGCACACCGCTTTGATTGAGGGCAGATTAAATATATACACACAAGAGTGCAATAAATCTCTATCTAGTTATTGTTTTTCTTCAAATGTGCATTCTACAATGTAAACCCGAGACGTACCAAACCTTATTCAGTTAATCTACGCGCGCGTATTTATAACTGTACCGAGTTTCATTTCGCGCCATTTAATCATTTCGCGCCATTTAATCATTTGGCCCACGGTTCCCGTGGACAAATGCCGCTCTCGCACATGGCCAAATGTGAAAAACAAGTATCTCCTGTTACAAGCGGAGACCCATCTAAACAACAGTCGAGTTTTGGGTTGGTAAATCACTCGGGCGAAAGAGCTAACCCCCCCCCCCCCCACCGCATCGAGCCTTGTGATGTACAGCAAAGTATGGAGAGGGAACATGCAAAGTTTCAAAATAAAGGCTTTTCTTATCGGAACCGTTCATGTTTTGCATATCAACACATTGGCCATCTAGGATGATCACCAGAAGGACCAGTGTTGTACGTGTGTGTGTTCAACTTCTTTCGCACCCTACGTAGCCAACCATGCCAAACGGAGGAGCTCAACCATTAGTGATCTTTCAGTAAAAATACACCGCACATCCACATCCAACCCAGGTGAGCTGAGCGGGTAGAGTGAGAGAGATGTACAATGTGGGCGGTTGTGAGTTAAAATTTTGATTGGGGATTGACTCAGCCCATCATCCCTCTGGGGTCGATAAAACATGTACTAATCTGTGGGGAAT